TAAATGTTAGCTTGATAATTTCTATATATATAGAGAGAAAAACACTTAGTCCAACGGTCTTACCCAGTCCCAGATGTTACTCCACTCACCAAAAAGATGGCCAGTCAGTTACAGCAAGTGAAGGATGGCTGTCTGTGGGAAGTCTTCTGATGATCTTTTGGCTGGCCCCAATCCAGATGTTGTTGGATAAACGGCAACACACACCCAACTTCCTTGTTGTTCCCTTTTATGCTTTTTCTTTAATTTCACTCCTCTGATGACTCCTTATTTCTGGGTACCATTGATTGGTTTCCCTATGATCACCATACTGTTCATGTTCTTATCCTGTCAACATATTCCTTTGTTCCATCACATGCACACATCTTAATTTGGTCTTTTACCAGTGTTTTAATTTGGGCATGTCCTACACTTCTAATTTGGTCTGTCCACCAAAATTGGAAATCCCAAGGGTTCTGCAGTTGGGCACTGTCCAGTTGGTTTCCTCTTATCACCTTTCATTAACATATCCAATCATTTCATCCCTCTGATTCAGTTGGTTATTACAATGTTCAGTTAATTTGAGGTACTAACAAGGCTCACATTCTACATACCTATGTTGATAATGCTAGAACATAAGCTTCCTGTGAGAGCAAGCTCAAGGCTATAGCTGACAGTGCAGATACAAAATGCAAAAGAAACGTTCAAATAATACTGTAATTCACCACTCAAGCAGGTGTAAATAAAGCTAAATGTGACAAGCTACCCTAACACCTTCTTCCCCATCTCTAGCTCCTTTGCTGTCTGCATGATGGGAGGAGGGGAGAAGGGAGAGGAGGAAGCTCAGGCTGGGGTTTGCCCATACTGTGCTGGAGTAGGGGTGGGTGGATTGGAACCTTGGGGGCAGAGAAGAAGTTCCAATCCACCTACCCCCACTCCAGTACAAGCTGGGCAAACTCCAACCCAGGCTCCCTTGCCTCCCTTCTACCCCACTCCCATCGTGCAGACAGCACCAGGGGTGGGGCTGGGATGCATCAGCCCAGCCACAAGATCAGAAGTTAATGAAGGTGCTCCACTTTGGTGCCCCTTCATCTGAACCCTCACATAATGAGTGTTAATTTGTAGCACAATTGGGTGCTTTTAAAGCACTCTGCAAGCACACTTTTAAAGTGGTTCTGTAAGGGCACAGCTGTCTAGCACTTTCAAGGGACTGATCAGGTGACAAATGTAACTTCTATCTGCACCCTAAATCTTCCCATTCTTGGGTTGATCTAGGGCCTCAGAGTTCCTTGCCATAACTGAGATCACCCTGATGACCGAAGATATAGCATACTTTTGGAGGCTGCCCTATGAATGATGGTACTGCATTATTCTCTCAAGTGATGTATGATGAATCCCATGTTTGTATATTACACTGAAGTTGTTAAACCATGGTTTTATATCAGTTCTCCCATTAGTAGATTAATAGATGTGACAAATGTCTGTCACATGTTGCTTGTTTTCATCCTTTTCCAGGGGGGAGAACTGTACATAGTGGGATGTTTTTTGTTAGTAAGTGTTTGTTTCAGACTTGTTAAGACTTGTTAGTATATATTTATGGTGCATCAAAGAAATGCACCTTGCACTTGGAGCAGAAGGCTGAAAGGTTTGTGATGGTTCTTAGTCCCTATAAGAGTTCATTTATCTATCTCTTGTCATTGACTATCTTCCCTTTATTCTAGACAGATGCATTTGTCCATAGAAATGGACTTGTCTACAGCAGTCTTCATTCTGGAGCTTTAGACAATCTTTTGGGCATATGCTATTGCGCTCCTTGAAAATAAGATCCTAAAGTTGGTACTTTACAGGAGGCTGATGTAGAGAGCAGAGATCAAAGCTGTGCTTAGGGTAGCCTATATGCCTGGAGAACGCCACATAAATCAAATTCACATAAAGCGAACCTACTCTATAATGTAAGAAATAGGGATAGGTTCCCATGTCAGCTGTTCCCGGGGCTGCTCCAGCACAGGCTGAGGTGAGTGCAGACAAGTGGAGCCCCAGGTGGTGCAGGCTCAGGATGAGCGCAGGCTGGGGATGGCAGCCCCTGCAGGCTCAGGCCAGTAGTGGCTCCAGGCTCTTCCCAGAACTCTGTCTGTCTCTACCCCAGCCTGGACTGCAGCAGCCCTGGGAGCTGTCAGCACCAGCTGCATGCACCAGGGCATGGTACAGCCCAGCGGCTACAGGGAGCTGGCACTGGCCACTCCCGGGACAGCTGCAGCAGGAGCTGAGGTGAGTGGGGAAAGGCAGAGCCCCAGGGTGTTCAGGACACAGTACAGCCCAGTGGTTGCAGGCAGCTGGTGCCAGCAGCTCCCAGGGCCGCTGCAGCTGGGGTGAGTGCCGTGCCTCACACTGCCTGGGGCTCCACTTGTCCGCACTCATCCTAGCCCTTGCTGGAGCAGCCGACACAAGAACCTATCCCTATTTCTTACATTATAAAGTATGTTCACTTTATGCAAATTCAATTTATGTGGCATTCTCCAGGCCTATGATGATCGCATATATGCAAATTTACCTCACATATAACACATTTTAGGTACAAAAGGGTCATCACATAACAGTGAATTCGCATAAATCGAACCCGCATAAATTGAGGGAAACCTGTAGAATGTTAATTGTATCCTAACTTATGGCTGACAGATTTTTTTCCTGAAGCCCACCTGCAGTTTATCTTCTATTCCGTGGCTGGCTAATAAATCCTTAAAGGGTAGCTTTGATGGCTTTGTTTGGAGTACCTACCTCAAAGGAATGTTTTTTTGGCAGAACTGTAGCTTTAGGTGCCTGTTTATGCTATTCCAGTTCTTTAACCTGGCATGATGAGGCTGCCAAAAGAGATCTTACTTCAACTTTCTAATTTAAAGTCTGATTCTTGTTGACATTGAACTCAGTGGAAAAACCACCTTTACTTAAAAAGGAGTAAGATTCTCAGCCTTCATAGCTCTAGCCCCCTCCTCCACCCTCTACTCCTTGCAAAAAAACCCCACTACCTCCCTTGTTGCTGCTTCAATGAAGCCCTGATAACCCTCGCTGACTAAGAAGTTGCAATCTCTGCATCCAAGCTTTCCCACGGGCTGGCAAACTTATAATGGAGAAACAGGAATTGTTAGTCTAATAAACTCACTCTGTCAGAGGGCACCGGTCTTCTTTCTAATACTCTTCCTCTTCTAACTGAATTGACAGCTTCACTTTCCTTTTGTACCAAACTTTCAGTCTTAGTGTGAAAGCTAAGGCAGGGTGGCTTCTTAAAGACTAACTGGTTCAGAGAAGCATGAAATTTTGTTGGCAATAACCTACTTCAGCAAAGGCTATCTTAGGGTATCGTATAGATAGATAAACAAAGGGCGCGTCTACACATCGCCATACGGCTATGTTGGTACAGCGCCGTGCTTTAGTCCTTTTTTAAAGGACTAAAGCACGGCGCAGTATAAGCAGATACTGTGCCGTGCATGCAGCGCATGAGTAAATTTCACAGCTATGTCGCCGCAGCAGCACACTATACCCAAGGAGCACACCATTATGGCGACATAGCTGGCGATCACATGTCGCCATAGGGCAACGTGTAGACATGCTCAAATTGTACTACTTTTCTGTAACTATTTTGTACTTCTGCTTCTAGCTTACGGTAAGCAGAAGCTAAACCAAGGCTTTTCTTGCCGAATGAAATATAGTTATTGTACTTCAGCTTCTGCTTACCACAGGATAGGAATGGACACAGTGGTTGCTGTAGAGCAGCTGGTATGTAGGCAGGCCCCATCACCTTCTCTCCCCCACCTTTTAATCTTGATATAATTTGATTGCCTGTCCATATCCCTAATGTAACCTTAGGTTTATCTTGTTCCTTTTCCTTCCATATTTAAATTCTTGCTAAGTTTTATTGCTTTTCCTTTTTAATGACATGAAAATGCTTAAAAGACAATCCCACATGTTAATGTACTCCTCACTTTTATCAGTTCTTTTCTGTCTTCATTGCTTTCCATCCCATGTTTTTCTGTTTGTTTGCCCTTGTCTAACCATATGACTGCTTTCCCTGGTTCTTCCTTCATCTCCTTGTCTATTACTGAGTCATGTTCAAGTTTCTCATACTCACCTAAAAGGCCCTACATCATTTTTGCCCCTCATTATATCTCTGGTGGGGTTTCTCTGTATTCCTTTTTCCAGTTTGTGTGCTCTTTATCTCCTTTTCGCAAACCTTACTTTGAGTTATTTAATGCTACCCTGGACATGTGAATTTTTTCCTTCATCTCCCAGCATACACCGTGTTGTTTAAATTCCTCCATGGACCCAAGCAACCTCTTTTCTCTTTCCATCATTAGTAAGCCACAACATTCTCTTTTCTTCTGTATGACTGTCTTATGTTGGGCCTCCTAATTGGTTTACTTTTAGATTGTAGGTTATTCTACTCTTTGTATCTATTGCATTCTAAAAAGTATTTTTTTCATGACAGTTATGGAACTACCCAAAACTGGTAGTTACAGGCATAAGTCCACAATCTTCTAGAAACTATTTATATTTTGTCCCAGAGGATATAGGTAAAGGACACTGATTCCTCAAGTTTTGCCTCATATAATAGAAATACTTTTTATTTCCATTGTGATCAGGTGGAAATTCATTTATTTGGCCTGCCAGGAACAATGGATTAAATTCTAGGCATTTGGGGTTGTAGTTATTGATTTAGTATTTATGCTTGAAAACTGATCCTTCAAAGTAGTATTTGGAATATTTCTAATGTGTATCCTTTAAAATGTACTTTTATTTTTCCACAGGGAGCTGATTTAGAATTTTTTTTGTATACAAAATTAGTCAGGATGGCTTCCTCCTGGTATATGTATTGTATTTATTTTATGTTAGAAAGGGTGTAATTTTTTGTTAATATAAAACCTGAACAAGAGATTATATTTCTTTATTGAATGGCTAAAAGGTGAATAACTGCTTCCAGGAATGACTGAGCCAGATCTGACCTTTGATTTTAACTTGTTCTTGTCGTCTAGACCCAGCTGTGCGCCTGGCGTTGTTCAAAAACAATGAAAATAAACATCCCCCTGTGAAACCACCAAGGAAGACACAGCCTGGAGAAGTCGGTTACTTTGAAGGTAAGAACAAGAATTCCACTTTATCTGTATATATTTAGATACGTATATTTTGTAATGTCTTTTATGCAGCCTTAGTTGAGTTACAAAAAACATTGAGAAATAAAATGAGGTAATAGCTTAATGCACTCGCCCAACTTTAATTACAGTGATGAAAATCTTTAATACCTGTTTTGTAGTGATTAATTCATAATGTGTGCCATAGGCCCAGCCCAAATCTTACTCAAATCAATATTTTGGGGGTTTTTTCTTCCATCAACTTGTTTTCCATGGACCTTTGGATCAGGCCATAAGTAGTTAGAAGAATTAACTTAAGCAACTCAGGTTTGATAATATACATGGGGAAGAAAGGTTAAAAGCCATTCACCAAATGTAGAGCTACTTATTACTTTAGGATTGGAGTTGGAATTATATGGTACCAGCTACTACAGATTTAATATAGAAATGCTTTCACAAACAACAAAGCAGTGAACAGAGGTATAAATTACAAGGGCATTGAAAACATAATATAGATAAAGTCCTATAAGTAATTTCAACACATTTTTTTTATTTCCCAGTCACTCTCTTTCAAGCTCATTATTCTTTCCTAAAAACCACAGACATTTTTAAAGAAGAAACGAACTCAAGAGAGAGTTATCAATTTAACTTATGGTAGAGGGAAAAGGCATTTTCTATCCATGCTTATGTAAACTCAAAATATTTTCTTGAAAAACTCTAAATAATTCACCTTAAGGTTGTGAAGGACCAACAGAAATTTTAGAAGAAAGGATAACCCATAGGATGGGATTTTTAAGGGCACCTACTAATAGTCCAGTTCTGCTGCTAGTGAAGTTCCTGGTAAAACTGCCCTTGATTTCAGTGGAGGCAGAGTTGGTGAGCCCTTCTGAAAGTTATAAGCACCTGAATGTTTTCACTCAAAAAATGGCTTCTTCAACTCTATAAATTGGCTTCAAATTGGCTCAGATTACATATTGGTTATAAAATGGCTCATAAATTGGCTTCTTCAACTCTATAATTTGCTAGGAAAATTTTCGTCATTAGTAATATTCCATTTAGAAACTCTGGTTCAGTGGCCAGTTTGACTCTTGCCCTCTCTTGCTAGGTAAAAATGCTGTTCCAGCTGTTACTGAATGTACAAAAAAATCAGAACTTGTACTTGACAGGTGGACATTACAAAGAGCCACATATACCTGCAGTCTGCAATTTTAGCAGGCTACCATCTTCCTGTTTTTGTCTTTACTTATTCCTGGTTGGTTTTTGTTTCTTTTGCTCTGAGAAGTTGGGGTGTGCATTCTCTTGCTTAAAGAGTTTAAGACATTCTCTTTCTTAAAGAGATTAAGAAAAGAAATGGTAGCAACTGGGAAGACAATGAGGCACACACTGAAGTGAGGGTACTCCTGAACTTCTTTCACAGTCTATTCAAGAAACAACTATATTCCTATGGTCAGCTATTGTGTGGGTACTTGGTTCAGTAAACCCTCAAGGCTAGGGACAGACATTCAAAATGCCTGAGCCTGAATTGATTCACTCTTTGCAGGTTAGTTTAACCTGGCTAGACTGTATCAGTTTTGTAACTGGACAGACATCCCAGAAATGCAGGCACATGCCTGCAGTGGCTCAGGATAGAAGCTGGGGGGCGCTAGAGCAGCCATCCCTTCCTTCCACAGCATGAAGTTGAGGGGGGTGTGGCAACAGGATGCTGTGATTAGCCCAGCAGGGAACTGATAATAGTGTTTATCTCCCAATTTAGAAAACAACAGAGGGACATTACCAGCTACTTGTTGATTCTGCCTGTTGATTCAGCACAGACTATGGCCAGTATGTGGCCTGCTAGCTAATACACAGACACCTCCTCAGCAAGGCAGAGGGGAGGGGGGAATTCCTGCTTAGCAGGGAGTGGTGAGGCGAGGAGGGAAGCAGCCCATAGTCTATGCTCCAGGCAGGGAGCAGAGGGGAGGGGCCAGCCCTGCTGTGGAGCAGAGAGCCCCACCCAGCCCGGAGAGCATGCCAGGGTTCTGGGGGCTTCTGGTTTACCTTAAACCAGCAAGAGGTCTGGGACAGACATGGCATAAACCAGTTTGAGCCAAATCAGTTAAGTCTGATATTACATTCAACCAGGTTTATCTCAAACTGATTTCAGCCATTCTCAAACTGGTTTATGTGCACTGAATATCTGTTCTGTTACAGATTTAAACCAGTTTCTCATCACTTAAACACATGTATGTGTAATTTCTGTCCCTAGCCCGAAGGTGCTTCCATGCTGTTGTGACATGTTCTGCTTCAAAGCAGTCCTGACTAGACTGATAAGGTTGCCATGCTGCTTGCTTCTATAGACAGGCTGGACACTGTCTTTGGTGTAGCCAGTGCTGTTTCAGGTGGACTGGTCACAAGGCATCATGTTGGAGTGTGAATTCAGATAAAGAATGTACTAGAGAACAACCACTTGCTTAGCTGAGATACCGTCGGGCAGATTTTGGAGCTTTGTCTGCTCTATTTTAATCAAATCACAGAACAAGAATGAGGAATTAATTGAGCAATGCAGACCAGGGCCATGTACAAGTGTTACATTTCTGTCAAGAGAATTACATCTCTCCTGATGGAAATCATGAGCATACAGGTATTCACACTGTATATTCCAGAACAAAAACAGCAGTCCCAGAAGAAAAATAATCCATTTCTGACCAGTAGAGGTCACTCCTGGGAGAGTTTCTTCTGGGAATCTGTTTACTTTCCCTCCACTTGACTTGTCCTGGAGATCAAAAGGAGTTGAGCAATGGGGAATTCCTCCACATGCCTTCCTGAGACCAGGGTCACTCTAGTCTGGGGATGCTGCTGCTTGCCTCCCAATCCCAGGAGGAGTCAAGCAGTGGAGAAAGGCTCCTGTGTCTTGTCCAGACCAAGGTCACCCCAGGCTGGAGGAGGTGTGGGAGGCAGCTGATCCCAACCCTCCTGTAGACTGGAGCAGCCACCCACTGCTCCCTGCTGAGGTTACCAATCTAAGGAGCATGCAGGAGGGTTTACCAGGAGACTCCTCTGCTCAGCTGTTGGCCACCAAGACAAAATTTCCCCTGCTAGAAATGAACACCTCTTGTGACCAGAGTCACTTTCCCCATATCCTGCAAAAGAGCAGGGCTACCATTTCTCATACCTCTTCTTCTGGACCATCCCCTTTCCTGGCAAGGAGCCATTACATCTGCCTTAAGAAGATCTTCCTGGAACTGTTCCTACTTTTTGTCAGAAAGTACTGTAGACTCCATACCTTAGACGAGGAGAAATGACAAACTCATCAGTGGATTGACTGGAATCTACTTCAGTCATTCAAATCCTTTCCTTCCACTGTCTGCTTTCTTGGGTAGAAGATTTGAATCCTAGCACCATTCAAGCAGGGCCCACTAAAGGAGATTTTAGAGAAAGATTTTGAATTCTAAATATTCCTACTCTATTTCTTTAAAGTGGGAATGGGGAGGAGAAACTGTAACATCAATAGAAACACACATATGTTATCTGTTAAATAAGGGGATCACTACTTTTGAAAGGGGATGCCCTAGGAAGTAAAACAATTAGAACAGTTTTAGCTTTTTAAACTGGAACACATCACAGTAGTGAGTATCTACAGGAATTAAGTTGTTCAAATTTATGGTGCATCTCTGAATCTTGATACAACTAAAAGAACAGGGATTAAAATATTTAAAATAGACCTAATGGGGAAAAACACTGTATAGAAATAAGTGGACTTTTATCTGGTTCCTATACATGCAATACATTTATATCTTGTTTAAACAATTATTATCACATGTATATTTTTATATTCTGCCCATAAGTGATAGATTTGGTTTATCCTCCCCACCCCAAAACTCTCAAATATACTCGATGGCTCATTCTCTGATAATATGATTTTATTATTTTTATGTTTCAAAGGACTGATGGAAAGTTGAAAGGTAAGACTACAGTAAATGAAAGCTAGGACTTTTTCCAGAAAAAAAGTCTAACTACACCTAATTACAGTAATTAAAACAAATTGGTTCTAAGTTAAAAATGACTATTTGTCCTAATTCATCTTTTGGTCCTGGATAATTCAAGGGTGTCAGAATGTTATGTGGTATATCTGAAGCAGCATCTAAACAGAATGAGAGAATGAGGATAGCTTGGCAGCTCTAATACCCAATGTCCTTGGTTTTCTTTAAGACCAATATCTTTAACTGCATACCAGTTACCGTAGAAGTCAGCGGTTACATGGGTTTTGTAACCTCAGCTTCACAATAATTTTGATGCACCTTATATATTGTATTTGTATAATGTGACAATTGCATGCATCAAAATTATTCTGAATAAGCTGAGATAACAAAACCCCTCTAATTGCTGACAACTAATTGGTGTTCAAATAGACATGCTGTTGCTTAATAAATAGCATGTAAAATCTTAACTACATAACTATGGCATATCAAGGAATTACGTGTAGATTACATAACATTCTGTAGCTTTGCCTGGGTTCAGCTACTATTGGGAAGTTTAGAGCCTGATCCAATTACTGTTGAAGTCAGGTGAAATATTCAAACTCTGTTCTAACATAGTTTTTGTGGGATTTTTATCTGGGAGCTGTCTGAGTCCAGTCCAGCTTTTGATATTAATACAGCATAATCAGGGCCTTTTTGACCCAACAGGTGGTTCTGGCATCTGGGAACTGAAAGCATATTTCATAACACACACACACACATTCTCATTCTCATTCTCTCTCTCTGTCTTTCTGCTCTTCCCCCTATTCCCCTTGAGAAAATCCTATCACTCGTATACCTAAATGCATCAGAGAGACATTTTGCAAGCTCTGTGCCATCCAGCAAGTCCACTTATTCAAGGTAAATTTCCAGATGGTAATTTCACTTTAAATGATTACTTTAATCTACCACAACAACACAAAGTAGGTGTGGGAACACCAGTATCTGGCCCATCATCTTGAATACAAGCTTTTGAAGTTTTTCACATCGAAGGTGTCAACTGCAGCGCAC